TGACATGCAGCAAGGGGCTGTGGGCTGGACTTGAACCATCAGCTGCTGTGGCAAGGATGGTGTCTTTGTACATGGGATGTCTGCTCTACCCACTGAGCTACTGGGTGACCTGCTCAGGAGGGTTTCTTACCTGCAGCTGAATTACCCGCAGAGGTCTCTTCGTCTCTAAACCAAATGAACCAGGTGATTTAAACCAGTTAAAACACTGAATAAAGCAGTTTCACATTCAAAGAAATCATTTTTTCCGTTGCTGCTCATCACAGAAGGACTGCTAACTACAGTGGACGACACCAAACTGAGAAAAATTGTGATATATCTAGAGGCAGTGCTTGGTTTGTCTGTTTGACCTACCATAGAAACATGGCGGTGCAACATGGCGGACTCTGTGGATGAGGGCCTGCTCCCTATGTAGATATAATCGGCTCATTCTAAGGTAACAAAAACACAATGATTCTTATTTTCAGGTGATTATACATTAATGAAAACACTTCTTACATCATATTCCATCTCATTAAATATTAATATTGTGCTTATAAATGCTAAATTGGAGTGTGTTGTGTACATGCAATTGTTCACACAGTCACAGACAAAGACACTCATTACTTAAATGCTCTCCACGGAGCACAGGTAAAACTCTGCCCGTCTTATTTCACTCCAAACACTGAAACTAAGAAGGAGATTTGGATGGCTGCTGACTCGAAATCCCTCTTAGTTTAGAACTCCTACACCTCGTCAGCCTCGTCGCGGCACATGGGTTTTGACAAGAACAAACTGGTCCTGCTGGAGAAGTGGAGGTTGTGCCAGACCCTTACAAGGTACTCCCCACTGCAGATCCAGAGGAGAGAAGTTTCCTATTATCAAGGACTCTCCCTTAATGATGAAAGTAAACAACATGAACAAGAGTGTTTAATATTTCATGGCCCACCCACAGGTGTAGCAGTGTGCTGGGAATAACACATACATCCACACATACCAATGCGGCTCTGATTAAGACGAGGGTATTGTCCCTGTTGCAACTGGCCAGATCTCCTGTGTGTGTATGTATGCATGTGTGTGTGTTGGGTCCTGAACGTATTTGCTGCCTCAGTCTTTTTTTTTTTCTCTCTCTGTGGTGATATATGGAACATATGGGAAATTATTGTGGGGTTATAAAGGGCTGTTGACTCCAGCAGACATGCAATAAATTAGGCTGTTTGTGCAGGGGAGGAAAAACACGAGCTCTTTAGGAACACTTAGTGCAGATTTCCTGTACAGACTTAACGCTCCTTCTCCTTCTCTCCTTCTTTCTAACTCCTCCTCTCAGCCTTCAGCCTGTTCCCTCCGTCTCTACCTGACTCCCTCTCACTGCTGTAACACAGGCCACAGCACAATCTCATTCTGTTCTCCTAGTTGGTGGTAACACAGTGGGATATATCCACACAAATTACACACATAAAACTCGTAAAGCCTGGAAAATATTTTAATAGTTTCCGCACCCCCTTAGCGGCAACAAGCTGCATGTGCAGAGCTGGTGAACACCACCAACATTATTGGTGCAATTAAATGTGAAACACAAGAGGGGAACATGGGGGAGTGGGAGCCCAAAATGGCTGTAAACAAGGAAAATGACACTTGACAAGTTGTAATTTATGGACGTCGTTTCAAAGGCAAGAGACTCACCGTTCCTACACTGGCAGAGGAGGAAGAATAAGGCACAAGGATCCAGGCATTAGAGGAACTATGCACAGAATGTTAGTGAATCAAAGCCACACAGAGACAAAAAAAGAGGGGAAGAGAAAGCTGTGACTTCAAAGTCGAAGCATGATGAGCAATGCACAGAGAGAGAGAGAGGGAGAGAAACCAAGAGAGAGAGACAGGAAGTGTGTGTATGTGTCAGAGGAGGAGAGAGAGAGAGAGAGAGAGAGAGAGAGAGAGAGAGAAAGCTTTGCAGGATGATAGTACCCAAAGCAAGCACAGGATGGGGGGGTGAGGTGGGGGGAGGCCCCTGGATACAGGCGTACTCATCTCAAAGAATGCTAAATCACACACACACACACACACACACATTCACATACACATACACACACAGAGGCTTTCTGAGGAAGAGACGCCATTAAACAGAATAGAAAAGGACTTGAGTACTGTCATACCCCAAACCCATCCCGAAACAAATCAGCGTCACTATTTACGTGTTTACTCTCTTCCCAAAATGAGGACAAAACTGAACCAAAACAGTCGCTTTAAATAAGCACGCTACGGAAACTGAAGACGTTTGTCATGCTTGATGAAAGCCTCCAATGTTTCCTTCAACAGCAGCCGAGGCCAGATGTTTACTGTGATAGTTACACTTTGTGTTTTTGCTGCAAATACCCTTCCTTAACTACCTACAGTATAGCAGTGTAATTTTAGATTACACTGCCAACAAAGTGATTTAAAAAGCTCTATTTAATTTGTTTATTGTATCGATAGCGTTATAAGTTAGTTCCAAGATGAATGGCGCGCTCTTCAGAAGTGTATCTGAGTCAATTTGCACCTCTTTTAAACTTTCTGTAATACAAAAAAGGTTCCTTAAAACTCGTCTTTAAGTAATTTGTCATATTCAGTCACTTCATCTTAACTAAAGGCCCTTTTTCTCCACGCAGCAGCCAACCCCGCTTTTTAACAGCTCTCCAGTTTCTTATCTGCTTTTCAAGAATTACATTTAAAACCAAACGAATAAAAGGATCTAATGCATGTGGAGCACATCATAAGCTTATTCTTCAAAGTTGTCGGACCTGCTGAAGGCGCTGAACAGTGAAAATTGTTTAATTTGAGCAAACGGCAATCACTTTACTTGAAAGTGCTCCGTCTCTCCAATGTGATCCATTTGTTTGCACCAAATTCTGCAGTGGACCCAAGAAAGTAATGAAGATTAAGCGAATTCTGAAAGTCTTCACAGCATATACGGAAGCCCCCTTTGACACATAAATACACAAGTTAAACTCGCAGTGTAGATATCCTGTAATTTGCAAAATGACAAGATGCTTGTCTGATGCACCAAGCACCTCCAATTGCAGCTCATTAACTCAGTCAGGGGGAAACGTTCTACAAGCACGGAGAGAAACTATTAAAATACTTCCATTAACTGGAAGGAAAAATACCCCGGTTGCAGCCCAAAGTGTCTTCATTTGGGCTCAAATGTGAGATATGCCGTTGCTATGGTAATATGGCAATGGCTGTAGCCCTCCTCCCAGCTGTTGGTGGGTTTTGTGTGTGTGAGAGAGAGAGAAAAGGAAAGAGAGGGAGACTGTGTGTTTGTGTGCGTGCACGCATGCATTGATGCTGCCTCCGTGCTGTGTTCCCCCTTTCAGTCTTCAGAATAGTGTCTCTACTAATCCGTGAAAGTTGCGGCGCTCTGAACCAGTGGCCAAGCCTTTTCCCACTGAACCAAGGCCCAGGGTCTGCGCTCTGCTTTACACTTGATTGGTCCCTCCCGTGGCAGGACTCCCCTCCCTGCTGGGCGTGGGCCCGTCCCCCTCGCTGGGCTGCTCAGCACTGCCTAATCGCCTTCTCCCCACCATAATTACCAGCGCTGAGCCCAGGACTCACCAACACACCATTAAAGTCTGGCCAGCCAGTCTTCACCAGCCCTCACACATCCAGCACTTAGCACAAGCCCAGAGACAGGCCTAAGACCAGGCCCGACTCCACCAACAGAGCACCTGTTCATGCCCAGGATGCCCCGCAGCACTGTGGACTTGGCTTGGTGCTGCTGCTGGGTAGGAAAAAGAGAGGGGGTTGGCAGCTGTGCTGTTGTCCTCCTCCCCCTGCAGTGGAGGTGATGTGTTTATTTGGGCTGGGATGCTGCAGTGAGAAGCTGTGAGAGGTAACTATCTCCTTGTTGTGCTCTACAGAGTACCAGAGAATCCACCCTGCAGAGACAGAGCCCTTTGATATGTGACCACTTCAAACCCACACATACAATGAAAGCAGTCAGTTGTGGAAATAGCCCAAGTTGATGTTGTGTGGGCAAGGTGAGACAAATTTGCTTTGCTCAAAACCAACCCTGCACTTTATTTTTCCACCCCTCCATATTTTCAGGAAAGCAAATAGGAAACATATTGTACATTCTGAACGTTGACAATCCTGCAATGTGTGTAAAATCAGAAATAGAAATACTCCCACTTTCAATTTTGTTGTACCCACGAGGTTCCAAATTTCAGACTATTGCACCATTGGGGAGAGCATATGGGACTGGCCAGGTGAAACGCAGTGACCTGGCAAACAGTCCAAAGGCTGATGAGAGTCGGGTACACGTCAGAAGGCACTGGGTGTGCTGGCACAAACAGTACCCAGAATGTGGATCAGACAGACACCCAGCACTCGTTAGCTTATTACTCTCTTATTAGGAACATTTTTGCCTTGCATGGATTGGCAGAGTCCCGCTAGCCACCCTCTTCACATGGCCCAGGCTCTGTCAGAGCTGATCAAAAGACATTTCTTCACATCTCCAGACGCCAGGGAAAAAAGGAGAAGAAAAGAGGGAGAGAAGAAAAGAGCCAGAAGGGGGCATACTGCTCTCTCTTTACTCTGGTCTTTTGGTGAATGAGGACTTTTCACAATGCCCTCTCCTTTTTCTTTATTTTTTTTTCCTCATTCTTCCATTGGCAAAAAAATAGAAAGAAAAAAGAAAAAACAGCATTTCCCATCGCGTTTCACCAAATTGTTTTTGCCATATCAAAAACAATTGTCCTCAGGTGAAGAATGCGCCTGCAGAATTACAACCATTCCAGGGGGAGAAAGAGGTCTTCACAAATCTGACTGGCTTCCAGGCAGCCAAGACCCCCTCGAAGTGGTAATGAAAAGTGTAACTTTAGCCTCCCAGCTGTACGTCTCAATCCATAATCCTTCCCCAAAAACCTCACCGTAGTGCCGCCTACCACTCCCATGGCGTTCCCAGCCTGTGCCGGGCTGGGCCTGCACTGATTTATGTGGCAGTCCCGTGTCATACTCTCAACCTGAAAAGGATTTGCTCTCTTATATTTACCAGGGTGGTCAGGGCAGCTCTCTGGAAACACAGAAAGCCCAGTCTCCGGGCCTCACTCACAGACAGTCTCTTTAGCCCTCTGTGCCAATAACCTGGACATTTTGGACCTTACCAGAAACAGACGAGGCTCCAGTGTTTCCATAGTGGTGTGTTTCAGCAGTGCAGAGGTGAGTGTCTGTGAGGGCGTGTGTGTGTGTGTGTGTGTGTGTGTGTGTGTGTGTGTGTGCAGTGCTGACAACATACAGTAGCTGAGTTGGTACCTGGTACGTGTCATAGTGTTCAGGACTGGTGGCTCAGCCTATGAGGTGACAACGGGCCCATAAACCTCTGAAATGCACAGACAGTTAACAAGTCAGCGTGTTTTACGTGTTAAAACCGTGTTTATTTTGCGGATCATTGCACAGGCACTCACAGCTGGTGTTTTTAAACAATAATTTGGAGATCACGTGTATGAGATGATCCACCTCCATGACATGCACTGTGGTCATTTCTATTTCAGGCTCAGAGAAGTGTTGCAGGAAAGTGTTTTACAGTGGTCTCCTGGCAGCCCAAGCTAACTGCTACTGTGCAACACTATATTAAAAATGTATCGATTCCCTGTGAATTATTCCAGCAAAGTTGAAAAGGAAGACGCTAATTGGTAGAGGTATAACTAATTGATGACGTGCGTGAGAATTACAGATTTTCAAAGAGTTTAAAGACATAAGAGAGAGGAGTCTTCAGCAGGTCTGTCCATCACACTCTCTCCTCCATGGTGCAGCTGACGTGGGTAAAAAGTACAGATTTGCTACTTACCCATACAGCGTGACTCAAGATCCAGTTAGAGACGAGAGAGCTGAACACATGTTGGTGTGTGAGCTGTCGTGGATGGCGGTGGTCCACTCTGCCACTGTGCATCCACTCCAGTCAAGTAAACAAGCCAAGGTGACCTCTGGACAGCTGGGTTTATACATCCTGTGGTTGGTTGTCTACGTAGTGTGGCGGTGGGAGCAGCGGGTGGTTGACGCAGACTCTAAGGAAGGGATCAGCTCATCCTATTTTACGTGTGCGTGTGTGGTGTGTGTGTGTGTGTGCCCCGTATTGTGCACACTATTGTGTCCTGTATGCATGTGCATTTGTGTGACAGCCATGTGGTTAATACTAAACACTGTCTGGTACATCCTGAGCAGGAAATGAAGGCATTACTGCTCAGAACACGCACAGCGCATGCCTGATATAATCCACATTTTCCGCCATATATCTCGCTTAAAGGCGCAAATTAAGAGATCTCGCTCCTGTGAAATGTCTTGAAATTGATGTCGCCATCTCCCGAAAACCAGAGTTTCAGAGAAATGTGGCCTGACCTGAGAAAGACATTTGGACCAATGCAAATGCAGACAAAATGGCCGCTGTTGCTAAGCTAACAGGGGAGGAAGAAGATGGAGCTGATTCTCTTTGAATGCTGTTTGGGTGCAAGCACATTCATACGTGACTTTTTACGCAATTAAATCACACAACACACAGGATGGTAGAATTTTTCATTGTGTCCAGCGTGTTTGAGAAGCTACTCTGCGTTCAGATATGCAGTCTTTTTCTGTGTTATACAAGCACTTCGCTCTCTCAAAGGTCTTCTGATATTACAGCTTCAGACTTTTTAAACACGTGAAATGCTTTTCTCTGTGTTATTTACTCAATTTTGGAGGAAAAACGGCGTAAATAAAATAACAGTGCACACTTCAGCCGACTCCAGCATTAGAATGACTGACTACTTATATTTTTTCAGCCAGAATTGTGAGTTATGAGATGAGTAAAATGTGACAGCTTCATATGAAAGTCTGTTTGAGTCTTTGCAGTTGAAAGCTTTCATAGTATGACACAAGGAGAGACTTCAGATTTTTTTTTCTCCTTTTCTTTTCGTCCCCATGCGTTAGGTTAACTTTGGGAAATCATGTGAGAGATATTTTCTCTTTGTAATCGAGTTTTAAAAGGATAAGATTGGTAACTTTCTTTCCCAGTATACTTTTCCACTGATCTCAGATTTTAAAAGTGTAGATTATGGAGGTGAATATATTTTTTGGCTTTTTTTTTTTTTTTTTACAGTATGCTTCATAATGTTTAAAGTTTCTTTGACAGTTTAAAGTAGGTTATGATTGCGAAAAATAGACGAAAATAAAGAAAAGATTTAAAACATGATAGAAATTAAAATTAGCATTTTATCTATTTAAACCACTACTTTATATCAATTGAATATTTTCTGTAAAATTAAATCGCACAGCAACATTACAGCAGTTAGTGTAAATAAAATGTTTAATATCAACACTATTTTCATTTAAAATGTTAACTGTTTGTACTTTCAATGCAGTTGGCCCTCCGATGTAAATACCATACAAAAGCTTCATAAAGAATTGTAGATGTGTGTTGTGGGGATGTCTAAGTGTCCTGATAAGTAGGAGGGACTCTGCTGACAGTTCAATGTCCTCTCTACAGACGAACATACGAAAAACAGATGGTGGCCTTTCATTCTGCAAACTGAGACAAGTTTCACATTTCAATCTAGGAGTAACATCTGATTTGATTTGCAGTTTTTTGATCAAAAACGCGCTTCTTATTTATCATTGCATATTATTAGATTATGATGAGAGCCTCCAGTGTCCCTTGAAGAAATAAAACAGACTTGAAATAAAAGAATCTTCTGCCAGTTAGATTCCACCTTGAAACAGAGCTAATGAATTTCATTGTCTTTTGATGCTGCGCATGGAAGTTTTTGCAAATGTAGAAACAATTGAAAAGAATTACAAAGAAAGGCACAAACAGATGGCTTCTTCAACAAACAGCTAAACTAACACAAAGTGTGCATAATCACTTTCCGATTGTTCTGCAGATTCCGTTTGTCTGACATAAGCTGGAAAAGTTTTTCCACCATGCTCGCACAACTTTCTTTTCTCCATCTGCTGAAAACGACGATTAAAACTGTAATGTCCGTTTATTACTGTTTCTCTTTGGTGAAAAGTATTGGTGTGTGTGTCTGTGTGAGTGTGTGTATGTGTAAGAGGTCAAAACCAAGTTCATGCACATTTCATGAAAATTTTGAAAAAAGAAAGAAAAAATAATCTTTTAATTCGAAGACACGTGAGTGAAATTGTAGAATTTTATTTAGACTTTGCAAAAGTTTTTACGATCTTTGTTTTTTAACGAGCCCTATTACTTTCCTATCAACATGCTAATTTGACATTTAAATGTATTTTTTTTAAATTACAAAAAAAACACTGGAATTATCTTGCTTTTTATTATCACTTTTTACTGAAAATAGTATTTTCATTATCCACGTCTATATATTAAATAAAACAATTTTTCTATTGTATGATTCATTTTAACTTTATTCTTAAATTTTAAGTTTACTTTTTAGAGCAAAACTAAAATTAAATTAAAACCACACCTTAGCCTTAAATTACAGTAACAATATGACGTTACTTATTGTGTGTCTTAATTTAATTTAACATATATAACAAAGCCAACATTTATGGAGGACTGCTTGCTCAGAAAATTAAAAGTTTAACATCGAGCAACATTTGACTCTTTTTTTTAAACGCTCCGGTGTTATTTTAATGTTATAGTTAGTGCAGAAAAATTGGTATTATTTTACTTTTTTAATTTCAAAATAAATATATGTTCAGTATCGGCCCGTTAGTTAAAGTGAGCGATAAAATGTATGCATTTTATTTTGCAATAAATATTCTGAGTGTTTTGGTACCAATCAGATTACGTAGAAAACAGGAAACAGAGATGATGATGATGATGATGGTGATGATGATGATGATAGCTGAGAGCACTGTGAACACAGTATCAGTATCAGTCTTCTGTAAGAAGACTGCATTGAAAGAAGTGGGAGGCCTGCTTATATCACAGAGGCCCCACATTCACTTTGTGGAGTTAAATTGATTCACCTGAAGGTTCTGGTCACATATTTCTTTAAATGTACCTTAAATGAGCCCGGCCATAATTCTAGTGTACAAAAGGGACGTGTCAGAGTCACACAATTGACGAGAAATAAATAGGGAGAAGGTTTTTGTGGACGTTCTTCAAAGGCGTTCCAATTTCACACCGTCAAATTAAAGCACCCTTATATTTTAGTTCCATGAGTGTTATTATTCTCTGCTGTTTGGTCTTCAGGCTTTTTTTCCTTTTGACATAATTTATGCAACATGAGGGATGATATTTTGGAGTTATAATAATCAAAATGATTTATATTTTTGCAAAATGAATAAATAGTTAGAGAGATTGTTTTATATTTTAAAACTTTACGTCATTTTTAACCTACATTTTAACTTGAATATTGATGGACTGACACTTTTCCGTCGCCACTTTTCGGCACCTTACAGCAGTCCCATTCAAATCTGGAGACATGCAGTCATATCTGGGCTGCACTTGAGGCGTGTTTGTTATTTATCAGAACTCTTGTTTTGACTGCTGATGTATATTCTGGGTGAATATTTGTTATCAGTGGCGTTACCTGTCCTGCCATCACGACATCATCTCACATCCCGACACTTGTCTGAGCTGAGCGCTGCCATGCGTCCCTTTTTGTTCTGGGAATATCTGCTGCATGTCACTCAATATCTGCAAAAGATGACATACATGATGTGTGACCTGTGCACATGTTGGTGCTGATGCTCTTTTGAAGGACTCTGATGTGCAAGTTTGAAAAAAGGAAGAGCAATTGACACAGTGAGGAGGTTCAGTAACCTTTAGCTCGGTTTGCGGTTTTAAAACACACATGATCGCAGCTAGCATCGATGCTAGACGACATCTGCCATCTCTGCTGCAAAGTGATCGGTACAGTTGGGCCCAAATGTAAAAAAGCGGTGGAGAATATTAAGCAAAGTGATGTTTCTATTTTGAAAATTCATAAATAACAAACAGTTTTTTTCCAGAGTTGCGATCTGTGCAGTACACTTGAGTGGGACCTACAACCTTCCTTTCAGTAAAAAATGGGTCAGCATTATATAACCAGGAGTTTGACTGCCAACGTCCTGCAGCTTGTTTATGGTGACATCTCATTGCTTGGTCGACAGGGTCCTGCCAGTGTGCGTCTTTATTAGTTTCCATGCACTGCTGGCGTGGGCACCCCGGCAGCAGCAGTGACAGCCCTTATCCCTCCTCTGTGCCCCACCTCATACTAAGCCCTGGA